ACATGAAAATATTTAAATTTATGCAATCTAAACAAATATTTAAAATCATTAATGTTTTCTTAGAAATATTTCATTTATCATTGTTGCATGTAAACTTAGTCATTAAGCTCACTCATTAAATTTAACTATTTATTGCAATATTAATTCAAATTGCTCATTTCACTATGAATTTTTCATTTCTATTTTAAAAATTATGCACTTTCATCCTATTATACATTCTGCTCTTTTCATTTTTTTTTTTTTTTAAATTTTTCAGAACTTTAACAAATTTTTGTTTAGTAGTATTTCTATATATTGAAATATTTATTTTGGTTATTGTTTCATGCATGTATTTTCAGATGAAAAAATTTGCTAATTTCGAACTATTCTGTTTGTGTTTTTTTATTTTATTTTACTTTATTTATTGTATTTACTTCACATTTTAATTTATTGTATCTAAAATTTGAAGAAATTTGCAGCTAAACTAAGCCATAAAAATTAATCTCAATCGATTTCTATAATTTGTGAAATTCTAAAATTAAACTAAATTTATAAATTTAATTTTATTAATTTGACAGTAGACGAATATTTATTATAAAAGTGTTATGATGACTGATATTATAAGGCAATTATTAGAGAATATTATGGTTAGAGTGAATTATTTGTTAAGAAAAAATTTGTATTTGCTTATTTAAAATTTTAATTTAGAAAATATTTCTGTGATATAAAAAAAAAAAGAAAAATTGAATTATTTTTATTATAAAATTATTTTAATCCTTCTATCACAACGAAAAACTTTTCAATTTAGAAGAAAGTTTTTTTCTTCTCAACTTTAACCATGTTTTTTGAATAGTTTCTTTTTTTTTTGTTTCAATTTTTTTTTAAAATGGAAAAAAGTAAAACGAATGCTTTTCATCAGACATATAAAGTGTTGAAATGAATTTTTCATGCTCACTTAATAGTAGCAATTTTTTAGTTCAGAAAGAATGTAAATTATAGTACTTTGGCTTAGCTATTAAAATTAAACATTTTTTAACTTTTATTCATTTTCAAAAAAAAAAAAGAAAAAGAAAAAAGTTATGGCTGATAATATCTAATTACAATTATATAGAATTTTTAGAACTTTGATAATTTATACCATTAATAAAATTTGCTTCAACAAATAAAATTGATCATTTCCTATTACACTAATATTTTCGATTAACTAATAAAAATTAACTTATTGATTTTTAAAAACTTACTGTGAAATAAATCATCAAAAAAAAATCTGAATTAACAAGTTAATCATTTATATTAAAAAAAAAATTTTTTTTTTTAAACTAGGAAAGATCAATTCAATCGAATTATTAAAAAATTACAAAGATTGATTCAATTGATCTCATTGCTATTCATTCTCCTTTTTTGCATCTAAAATATTAACATACTAATATTATTATCATCATCATCATCATCATCATCATGTCATCATCACCATCATCATCAGTCATCATCATCATCATCATCATCATTATCAGTCATCATCATCACCATCATCATCAGTCATCATCATCATCATTATCAGTCATCATCATCATCATCATCATCAGTCATTATCGTCATCACCATCATCATCATCATCAATCGTCATCATCATCATCATCATCAGTCATCATCATCATCATTATCAGTCATCGTCATTATCATCATCATCAATTATCAGTTACAAAGATATTTTAAAATATGTTTGTTTACTCAAATTTAAACATGTTTATTTACTCAGATAGCAAAATGCGCTTACTCATCCAATTATTAACCGCGTGACTTTCTGCTGTTATTCCTTCATACTAACATAAAAGCGGAAGAAATTTAAATTTGTAATCGTTATGCATTTAAATGATGTATGAAACTTTATTAGCTCAAAATTTTGGTAATGAAATTTGCCACAAATGTGCTCTAAATTTACAATTGTGTTGCAAAATTTAAAAAAAAATAAACAAATTTCGAATTGTAATTTTGTCATCCTTTACATCAGCAATATTTTATTGTATTTTATAAAAGAAAAAAAATTGAAATTATCAGAATAAAAGAAAAGAAGCTCAAATTATTTTCTTTTATCAAATCTCAAAAAAAAAAAGAAAAGAGAGAGAGGGAAAGAGAAAAAAAGCGAAATCTAATTCATTGTTGTTACAGCACTTCAAATTTTTTTCTCAAGTATTTCGTCTTGATGACATTCTTGTGAAATATTTATTCTGTCAAAGTTTAATCGTTCTCAAAAAATTATCATCCAAAGCAATATGCAGAGAAAGATTTTAATTTAATAATTAATATAATTAAATATTGTTTTGAAATTTATATTTTGGATTAATTTAATTTTAATTAAATCTATGAAATGCATTCATTTTGTTGTTGTAACAAACAATTTTTAGCCTCTTAGCTCAATTAATTCTATCAAAAAAGTTTGCTTTCTCAGTTTAAAGTGAGTTATTGATATGGTAGAATTGATAAGATAATAATAATTCATTCTGTGATCAAAGATTTCATTTGTAATTAGCTTAATATGAATTTTAATCGAAATAACTTGAAAATTGCGAGCTTTATATAGCAAATTATATAATTTGGATGAATGCTTAAATTCTTTCTTATTCCATTTTCATTCCCACTTAATCATTTTTCTCAAACAATTTTTGGAATTGAAAATTGTTAATAATAAGATGATTGTGTTTTATTCTAAAAGATTTCAACAAATGATTCGAAAAAGAAGCAAAGACTTTATTTAGTCTCAGAATTCTTTTTGGATGACATTTTTTTAAAAAAAAGCAGTTTTGAAAAAATTTAAAAAAAAAATTTTTGTCGATGAAAATGTGACAAACACTATAAAGTAAATTATAATGTAATTTATAAGTATTTTATAAATAATTTATATGTAATTAAATAAGTAATTAAGTAAGTTTAAAAATTGTTCACAAATTATTCATACATCCATTTTGTCTTATTAAACTAATTAGTCTAATAATTTTCATTCATTTTGAATAGCAAAAATTTAATGATACAGTATTTTTGATATATTTAATTAATAAATGATCGATTTTACAGTGAAACAAAATCAAAATTTTAATCAATAAGAAACTTTCACTTTTTTATAATTAATTTTGTGAAAAAAACAGAAAAAATAGCATTCGTATATGTATATTAAAAGAAAAAAGCGATTGATATCTGCTAGCAAAATTTTTTTACAATTTAATTTATTTAAATAAATATCTCTTTTTTCTTATTTTTTTGCTAATCATGATTTATTCATTTAGTAAAACTTAAGTTTATGCTTGAGTTATAAAAAATGAATAATTACAGGGTCAATTTTCAATAACTTATAATTATTTTAGATTAAAAAAAATAAATCATTATTACATCGTAGAAAAAAAGAACGCAAAAATTTATGTTCTTAGTTTTGCTGAAAGAATAAAAATTTCTTCATCAATCATAAAAATGAATTTGGTCTTAGAATTAAAAATAATAAAATAATGCTAACACTTTTGAAGCTTTGGTTAAAACTCACTCAACAACAAAAGAAGCATTTCTTGAAATCTAACTGAATGCATTTATCTTTCTTTTCTTTCCTTTTTTGAAAAAAAGATTTTAGTTTAAATTAACTGATCAATCCAAATTAGAATAAAGTTTGGAATAATTATCATTATTAATGCTTATTTAATCTTAGCTATTTTAATTTCAAATTCATATTTCAATCTAATTTTCCAAAACAAATTTTATGCTTGTTATTTTTATAAACTTGTCCAACTTTAGCTTGGCTTGTTTAAGCTTTTTCCTTTGTCTTCTACTCTTAACTAAATCTATTCTTTTAGCCAAATAGAAAAAAAAAAGAAAGAGCTGCTTTATTTCAATCATTTTGAAATTAATTGAAACCGTTCATAGGAGCACTTTTTCTATCACAAATTCATTCCTTACAAAGCTCTTCCAAATTATTGCTATTTATTTAATTGATTTTTGCTTCAATTTTCTTAGCCAATGCATTACTTGGCCAAGGATTTCTTGGCCAAGTAAACAGTATGGTACTATTTGTGTTATTTTGCTCTCAAATTCTGATGCAAGCAAAAATGCTAAAATAAGCCAAGATTTGATAATTATATTCGAAATTCTTCACATTAGTTAATAAATTAAATTCCTATTGTCTTCACGGATATTTTCTTATTATTTATTCAACTTTAAAAGTCAGCAAACTTCAAATTTTGATTAATTTTAAATAAAATTGAAACAACTATTAAAAAAAAAATAAATAAAAATGTATCTGAAAGATATTGGAATTATTGTAAAAATGCCATTTTATATTAAAAACTTTTGAACAATGAAAAAAGAATTAAAATTGTTGCAAAATTTGTTGCAAAAAAAAAAATGAAAGTTTAAAATTAATTTGCAATGTTTAACTGAAAAAAGATTGTTCATATTTCAAATCGATATTTCTACTTTAATTATTTTCAGCGTTAAAATTTTTATTATAACTATTTTTTTTTTCTTGAATAAAACTTCCAAATAATTAAATTAAATATGAATGAGAAATATATACTAAACTGAGTGTTTCTACAGTAATTTAGGTGATTCAAAATAAATTTGTAATTCTAACCCATTTAGAATTTTAATAAAATTTCTGCACTTTTTTTTTCTTATAATTCTTGGTAGATCTTTCAATAACTCAGAATGGATTTAAAGTATACAACGAAATTTATGATTCGATCACTAAAATTAATCATTATGGGTATTTTTCGCATTTTTTTTTTGACCAAAATTTTATTAAAGGAATCAAAAGTGCATAAAGCGCAAAAATCCTGGTGATTTTTGATCTTATCTCATTTCATTATACTTATTTATCATTCTTATTAAATTTTTAATAAATTTAAACTTTCTGATATATGAATTTTAAAAAATATATGCATGTCAACTGCGCTTGAAGATTTCGCCTATTTCAAATTTGTACTTTGATAAATTCATAATTTTTTGTTAAATAATTTATATTTCAGCATGTCATTACAGATATGATGAAAAATACCTCACTATTATCAATTCAAATTTTTCTTTTATATATTTTACTTCTACTTGGATACCCAACGAAAATACCAATTAGTATTTTATTTTTTCTTTTTTTAAATCATTTATGAAATTATATTTTTCTATAAAAATTCTAGCAGAAAGTTTCTAATGAAAATACTTTCATATTAAAGAGATGAAAAAATTTTTTTGAATAATGATTAGAAAGTATTATTTATAAAAAAAATTAGCGAAATTACAATGATTAGATTGTAATTAGTAAAGAGCAAAGAATATTAATTATTCAACTAATCAAAAATTAAACATTAAAAAAAATTTTTGTTTAATTTTCCAGAGACATACATTCAACCGGATGAAGAAAATAAAGCTATTATGCGGACAATACAAGAAGGTGAAATGATACATAATAATGATCAAAACAATCCGTTGAAATTTTCATTTTCCAATCGTCAATTACATATTGAGGAAATCGATACATGGAATTTAATAAATACTGGTAAATTATTATAATTAAAATTTCAATAATTTCTCTCTCTTTTTTTTTTAACTAAATAAACTAAAATAATATATTTATATAATTATACAAAAAAAAAGACTTAGATAATTATGTTATATGTACAGTTAAATTAGAACTTTTAATAAAAAAATAAAAATAAATTTAAAAATACTTAGATAATAATTATGTTATATGCACAGAACTAAAATTGAATTGATAAAATTTTTATCAATTCAATGTTACTTTCTCATTTAATAAACTGAAAAAAAATTTAATTAATTAATTAAATTTATTTTACAGTATGCAGTGATTTAAAAGTTGGTTCGATGGCAATAATGTGCGGTAATATGGGTAAACCGTATGAGGCGTTCTTGGCAATCACTGAAAATATGGAAATGCCACTGATAAACTGGGATTTGTCACCAATACTTCCAGCTGAAGAACCTCGCAGTTTGTTAGTTATTATTTGTTTAAGCTATTAATTTTGATAATTTAATTCAATTATTCGAATATTTCAATCCTTTTCATTTTTTCTTTAGATTGTAAATTATTTAATTATTATTATTCATATAGTGTACTTCTTCCTAATTTAATTACAATATGATAATATTAATTATAATTAATAAAGATTGAAAATAAATCGCTTTTTTTTCATCATTAGCTTAGCAAATGTTCTACAAATTGAAATGTGACAATAGTATTCTCACAATTTGCTACTTCAATATAACAAATTTGATTTTAACAAAAGAAAAGAATTCTATAGATGCAGTAGTGAATGATTAGACAAATTAAAATGACATAAAAAATTTTAGTAGAATTGAAAAATCATACCTAAATATATTAAATTTTAATGTATCAAATAAATTGTAAATTGCATTTATTCAAATTCCCGTCAATATTATTTCATTATTTTTTTTTTTAATTTCGTTAATATTTATTTCATTTCAACTAATAATAATGATGATAAAGGGATAACAATCTTATGTGTGAATTTAATTTAACTGAGATAACTGTAAATTGTCAAAAAAAGTGCAAAATAAAAAATAAAAACAAAATTGAAATTTGATAAAATTTGTTAAACATAAATTCAAAATATGATATTAACGCATTTTCGTTTTCAATTATATTCGCTTTTCTTTATGATATATGATTCTCTCATATCATTTAAAATATAAAAAACAAATTTAATAAAATAAAATCATTTTTAAAAATACATAAAAATTTTTCTTTTTGTTGTTTAAAAAAATCCATTGCATCAAAATTTAAGAAATGAAAATTTTTTTCATCGAAGATTTTTTTGAGTTTCATTCCAAAATAATTTAGTAATTCATACAATGGTAAAAATTCAATCAAAATATTAAAATGAAATTCTAAAATAAGCTTTTAAATTTTTAAATAAAAAATAAAATAAAATGAAATTTTGTTTTAAAATTCTAGCTTTCAAGTGAGTATTCGTCCGCCAACAGCAGAATTGATAGCTGATTTAATCTTATATAAGCAATGGCCAACATTTATCTTTCTTCATGATGGCAAAAATTGTATTTTTTTTTTTTCATTTTTATTATAATTTTATTATTATTAATAATATGCTTAATATTATAAAAAAAATTTATTACTTGAATTTAAAACTATGGCAACGCTTTGATTTTATTTTGATTTTTAAGTACAAAAAAGGAGAATTCAAAAGCAAAAAAGGGAAATTATAATTAAATTAATTGTTTAAATTGAGCAAAAAATTCACAAAATTTTTAACACATTCTTTATTTTTCCATTAATTAGCAATATATATTTAAACAAATTTAAAATTAATTAAAAAATTTCATACGAATTTTTAATTTTTTTTATTTTTTTAGCAGTAATCAATTTACAATGGATTTATTATTATTTGCATCGTAAAAGTAATACTTCAATATCAGCAGAAATGATTCGAATGCCACAAAATGAAAATGATTTTATGAGATTCTTCCGAAAATTAAATGCAAATCGATTTGTAAACAATTCAATCAAGTAGTTTTTTTCTTTATTTTTTTATTAAATTTTTTTTTCTTTTAAATGAAATATATAAAAGATTTTTTTATTCAATTTTAATCATTTAATAATATATATTTTATGCACAAAAAGATGTAAAAAATTTATAATTTTGAAATAAACTTCAATTGTTTGTAACGTTCAGAAAAATAAAAAATAAAATCTGATTTTATGTTTGATAAAGCAATATTTTTCATAATTTTAAAATTACAAAATATATTCGAAATATGATTTTTTTTTCTAATAATTAAGTTAAAATAAATTTTCTTCACTTTTCTCTTTTTTTCTCAAACTAACTTTTTCCAATGATTTAGAAGTGAAACTGATAAATGATTCAATTATTAAATAAGATGCTAAATTATTATTTATGTTATCATGAACAATTACTTCTTTATTGCTTTTATTTTTTACTAAGCAAATAACATTACCTTATTTTATTTGTTCACTAACAATAATTATTATCAATTTGTTATAATGTCATGCAAACATTAATTTTATTTGAGGTATATCGTAATTGATGCTGATTCATCACATCGACAAAGACAATTTCTAGCTGCTATACGATCCACTCAGTTTAGCCAATTGGAATATCATTATATTGTTGGAAATTATGTACGAATTCATTTCCATTCATTCCTATTCATTTCCATTCATTTCCATCCATTTCCATCCATTTCCATTCATTTCCATTCATTTCCATTCATTTCCATCCATTTCCATCCATCTCCATCCATCTCCATTCATTTCCATTCATTTCCATTCATTTCCATCCATTTCCAACCATTTCCATTCATTTCCATTCATTTCCATCCATTTCCATTCATTTCCATTCATTTCCATTCATTTCCATCCATTTCCATTCATTTCCATCCATTTCCATTCATTTCCATTCATTTCCATTCATTTCCATCCATTTCCATCCATTTCCATTCATTTCCATTCATTTCCATTCATTTCCATCCATTTCCATCCATCTCCATCCATCTCCATTCATTTCCATTCATTTCCATTCATTTCCATTCATTTCCATCCATTTCCATCCATTTCCATTCATTTCCATCCATTTCCATTCATTTCCATCCATTTCCATCCATTTCCATTCATTTCCATTCATTTCCATTCATTTCCATCCATTTCCATTCATTTCCATTCATTTCCATTCATTTCCATCCATTTCCATTCATTTCCATCCATTTCCATTCATTTCCATCCATTTCCATCCATTTCCATTCATTTCCATTCATTTCCATTCATTTCCATCCATTTCCATCCATTTCCATCCATTTCCATCCATTTCCATTCATTTCCATTCATTTCCATTCATTTCCATCCATTTCCATCCATCTCCATCCATCTCCATTCATTTCCATTCATTTCCATTCATTTCCATCCATTTCCAACCATTTCCATTCATTTCCATTCATTTCCATCCATTTCCATTCATTTCTATTCATTTCCATCCATTTCCATTCATTTCCATCCATTTCCATTCATTTCCATTCATTTCCATCCATTTCCAACCATTTCCATTCATTTCCATTCATTTCCATCCATTTCCATTCATTTCCATTCATTTCCATTCATTTCCATCCATTTCCATTCATTTCCATTCATTTCCATTCATTTCCATCCATTTCCATCCATTTCCATCCATTTCCATTCATTTCCATTCATTTCCATTCATTTCCATCCATTTCCATCCATTTCCATCCATTTCCATCCATTTCCATTCATTTCCATTCATTTCCATCCATTTCCATCCATTTCCATTCGTCTCTTCTCTTCATATTCGATTATTGCATGCTATTTGAAACTGATATGAACTCATCATGAATTAATAATTAAAATGAAAAAAACTTGTAATAAAATTTATTGCAGGATTTTTCGGATTACGACGTGGAAATGTTCCAAAATGGAAACATTAACATTTCCGGTTTTCAAATAATAAATCGAGAAGCAAAAGAATATAGCAAACTGAAAAATGCTATATTTAAAGCAGAAAAAGTTGACATAGACAATGAGGTAATCATATCAACAAATACTTTTATCATAGTTTAAATGATAAACAATTTTTGTTTACAGATTAAACCTGTATTTGTGCATGACGCAATGCTCGTTTTACGAGCTCTTTTTGCAACCGTTTTACGACGTAACGATTCTTTATTCCGCCATAACTTCCGGCATGGCCAGTTGTACAATCGTGAATATCCTGGACTATACTGTCATCCAAGTATGGATGTCGACAATCCCCATCGTCCATTTACAACTTTCGAGCATGGACAAATACTAGCAAGAGCTTTACGTGGAGTAAGCGTCGTCAATCTTTAATTAATAAATGTCACATAGCCGTAAAATTGGCTGAAAAACTACTCTATATTTCAAAAAAAAAAAAAAAGAAAAATTGAAAATTGCAGTTAAAATTAGATTCAAATGATGGTACCTTATCCGGACGCATTGAATTTGATCGTTTTGGGATGCGTAAGAATTATGACGTTACCGTGATTGATTTAGTATCCAGTATTAAATCTGCTTTTAACCGGAAAGAGGTAAAAGAAGAAAATCTCTGCTTAAAATGAATTTTGCAATTTATTTGTTTATTTGTATTTATTGATTAATAATGTTTATTTCTACTCACTTGTTAATTTTATTGATTAATATTATATTAAATTGTTAAGATAATGGTTTGGAAACAAGGCCTTGGATTTTTTGCAAATCAAACGATTGCTGAGCACACTCGAAAGACTTTGGATGCAACAGGACAGAAAAAAACCCTTAAAGTGGTCACTATTGTGGTCAGTTTATTCATATTAACAAACATTCTTAAATTACTTTCATATTTCAGTTAACTCAGTTAGGCTAAGTACTACTACTACTACTAATACTAATAATAATAATATAAAGAATTAAAAATTTTTAATTGTGGTCAGTTTATTCATACTATTAAGCTTAAATTACTTCCACATTTCAGTAAACTCAGTTAGGTTTAAGTAACTAATAATAATAATAATATGAAAAGTTGAAATTTTTTTCTTTTGAATTTATTTATGTGTTTATCTTCCTTTTTTGTTATTTATTAATGTATACATTTTTAATGCATAATCATTTATGCTGATGTTTTAGCATCAAATTTTGTTATCAATTCTTAATTTATCAGTGAATAAAATATTATCAGTAAACACTTTATCAATGAATAAATATGATAATTTGCAGACAGCACCTTTTGTAATGATTAAAAGAGGTTGTGAGGGAAATACGAACAAAAGTAGTTGTGATGGTAACGATCGCTATGAAGGATTTTGCATTGATTTACTTAAACTTCTCAGTGACAAGTTTCCATTTCATCATTTTTCATTGAATTTTTTCTTTAGATATTTTTCAAAAATATTTTCTACAAATATAATTTTTTTTTTTTGTTGTAGCTATTTTTATAATTATTTGTTTTTTATATTAAATTGAAATTTTGCAAATTTTTTGTTTCTTTTAGAATCGAAGATTTTAAAAAGTATGAAATAATCTTAGCTAAAGGCAATAAATACGGAATTAAACAGCCTGATGGTTCATGGGATGGCCTAATTGGCTCATTACTTAGTGGTGAAGCAGATGTTTGTGTAGCATCACTTACTATAAATCAAGTATCAAATATAGCTTTATCACTATTAATCTTTTTTTTCTTACAGTTCATAAATTTAACCAACAAAATATTTATTTGAAATTAGCACAATTATTATTATAAACTATAATTGTAGATGATAGTATAAGTTTAAATTACTGGAATTATAGAATTTTGACTAATTTTTAGGATCGTGAACGAGTTGTTGATTTTTCGAAACCATTTATGACAACTGGAATTAGTATAATGATTAAGAAACCGGATAAACAAGAATTTTCCGTATTCTCATTCATGCAACCATTAAGTACCGAAATTTGGATGTATATCATTTTTGCATATGTTGGGGTTTGTTTAACACTTCAAAATTTTTCTTTCAAATTAAAAATTTCAAAAAAAAAAAAAAAAAAAAATTCAATTTTTGTACTATGTGTCGCGGATTTTAATATCGCGATCTAAAAATATGAGTTGCAAATTGTAGTAAAGATATCTACGTAATTTCCGCAAATAATGCTTATACTTCGGACTCTTTGTTTCCAAATTTATGCTTCTACATATTGAAACAATTTACATCGTTCTTTGTTAGCAATCCTTACAATCATGAGGATATCTACATTGTTCTTTGTTAGCTATCATAATCATGCGGTTATCTAATAAGCTCTTTATTAGCAACTGGTGCCCATGCAAGCACCTCCTCTCCTTTGTTTCGATCATTGTCTAACATCAATGTAGATTTATAACCATACTATTGTCAATTAGATCAGTTTTTAAATCATCCAATCGTCCGAATCATTTTATTCAATTGTTGCCCAAATATTTAGCTGGCATCCAACACATCTCCCTGACATCAAACTTCTCCCCCGAATAACAATTTAACCAAATCATAAAGGTTTGTTTCCAAAAACATTTTTTTTGCTTCCACTACAATTTTGGTGCCACGAGCCGGGACATGTCCGACAGTATAAGAAAAGGAAGCGAATTATCGAAGTCGAGAACTCTAGAACTTCTTAAAGAAGCAAGTGAACTCGATCTGACCTCCCCGTCTCAAACACTATCACGAGGGGAACTTCAGCATCAATACGAAATTAAATTGCGAATCGTCAAGGAGAAGATCGCACATCTCGAATATTATGCTGGGTTACTCGAAACAGCTAATCAAAATTGGCTGGATAATATTCAGAGCTTGACAATAGCAACGAGGAGAAAGGAAGAGGAGACGAAATACGCCAATATGGTTGACGATCCACAAGGTATTTTAAGTTTAATCACTAGAACAAGAGAAACTATTATTACCCTTAAAATACATACTGATGAATATTGCTCGGTACTACAACATTTAAAACAAGAAGAGGTCAAAGAATCATTTCCAAAGAATAGTATGATTCACACAAATCAAGCAGAAATAAAACTTCCTCAATTACCACTAATAACGTTTAGTGGGGATCCAAAATTGTGGAGGCAATTTTGGTGTAGTTTCAAGGCAGCAGTCCATGAGCAAAGCATCCCAGATATTCAAAAGTTAAACTATCTGATATCATGTCTTAAAGGAGATGCTTTGTTATCTGTAAGAGGTTATGATATAGCGCCAGAAAACTACGATGTTATAATAGGTTTACTAAAAGAGAAATATGGTAAACCTTTCCTTATAAAGAAATCACTCTACAACGAGTTGAATACCATCAAAAAAAATGACCGAGAGTGGAAAGCAACCATAGAAGCCATGGAGAGAACATTTCGACAACTGGAAGCTATAGGTGAAAATTTAGAGCATTCAAGCATCGAAATTACAATTGAAAATAAACTACCAGCGTGGATAATTGATAAATTATACCAATTGAAAGAGGATTCGACGAGTTGGTCAGTTAAGGATATCCGGCAGTACCTGACAAAACTAGTTCTAAGAAATGAAGAAGTTGCTAGAAGTCAAGCAGACACAAGGGAGAAGAAAACAAACAAAAATAATGTTAGAGGCGAAACGTCAGCTTTCGCCACAATCAACCAAACAAAGGGAGATAATACAATCAAATCAAAAAAGGTTCCAGGAAAAATTCCTATAAATGGGAAAAGGAAACCATGCGTATTTTGCAATAAGGACCACTGGAACAATGAATGTAACATCTATCCCACTCTCAAACTCCGGATGGAACGTTTGAGAGAAATCACTGCATGTTTCAAATGTTTACGAAAAGGACATGCAACAAGTGATTGTAAAAAAGGGAAACCTTTGTGTTTCCATTGTAAAAGTCCACACAATACAGCACTGTGTCCCAACAACTACAAGGAACTCACGCAAGCAGTGGATTCCAACAAAGAAAGATTGGGTTCAGTCACAATCGCTAACTCCATTACCGAAAAAGGAAATCAATGGAAAAAGCGAACCTTACTGTTATGTAAGGAAATAAATGTAACCAATCCAAATCGCCCAAAAATCCAACAAAAGGCTTTAATTCTATTCGATATTGGTTCTCAATTATCGTTCATATCAAAGGATTTGGCTTATCGATTGAATCTACAAGAAACTAACGAGATGGAAATAAAAATTGCTTCATTTGGTGATAAGACGCCAAAAACGTGTATCACTACTAAAACTGAAATCGGAGTAAAAATTGGAAATAAAGAAATAATCCGATTAGATGTAATAACAGTTAACCACTTGACGAATGAATTGCAAGTAGTTAATCTAAACAAAAAGGAATTGTTGATGATAGACAAACGAAATCAGTTTAGTAATTTCAAAAACAAATGGAAACAACCGGACATACTCATAGGTGCGGATCACTTCTTCAAGTTTATCCAGTTTGACCAAGCAGAGAACTTAAAATCAGGATTTTCATTGATCCATACAAAGGTTGGACCTATAATAGCTGGAAGTGGGTATATAAATGAAATACACGACAGTATTTCAGAAACCACATCAGTAAGTCCGATTTCTCAAGTCAATGCCGTCAATATTCCAGACTTAGATCACTTTTGGAAACTGGAATTAATGGGTATACAAGACAAAATAAACTCTGACAATGATGAAAAAGCATTGCAGCAATTTAAACAAACTATCACTAGGGACAAGGGAAGATATCAAGTTTGTTGGCCTTGGAAAGATTCAAAGAACAAACTAAGCGATAATTTCGGACTTTGCCTTGGAAGATTAAAGTCGTTAATTAGGAGGCTTCAAATGAAACCTCAATTACTAAGTCGATACAATCAAACTATTGAAGAACAACTCAATTCCAATATAATTGAGAAAGTGTCATCGGAAATGAATGAAGTTGGTATTATTCATTATCTGCCTCATCACGAAGTAATAACACCAAATAAAACCACGACAAATCTGAGGATAGTTTATGATGCATCAGCTCATTGTAAAGGAATGAAAAGTTTAAATGATGTTTTATATCGGGGACCAATAACACTCCCTGATTTGGTTGGAGTTTTGCTACGTTTCCGTACAATGAAAAATGTAATAATAGCAGACGTAGAAAAGGCGTTCTTGCAAATAGAATTGCATCCAACAGATAGAAACTGCACTCGATTTCTTTGGTTGAAAGACATTCGAAGTCCAGTTAACGAAGAAAACGTAAGTTGTTACCGTTTCCAACGAGTTCCATTTGGAATTGTATCATCTCCATTTTTATTGTCCGCTACACTCAATTATCATTTGGAAACTTGTAAAAGCAAAATCGCACTCGAGTTAAGGAAAAATCTCTATGTCGATAACATTATAATACCAACCAAAGGAACCAACGAAGCTCTTTCCAATTATAAGGAAATTAAAATTATATTCAATGAAGCATCAATGAATGTACGGGAATTTCTCTCTAACGACCAAGAAGTCAATGAAAAACTTCCGGTACAAGATCGAGCAGAGGTAAGTTCAATTAAAAAAATTCTAGGTCTCAATTGGTACCACAAACAAGATATCATTCAAGTAACGTTAAAACCATGGTTTGGTAAGAAATTAACTAAAAGAATTATATTGCAATTCGTAGCCTCACAATATGACCCACTAGGATTCATAGTTCCTATACTGATAAGATTCAAATTGTTTCTCCAAACTTTGTGGAAAAAGAACCTTTCATGGGATCAAACTATAAGTGAGGAAGATGAAACCACGTGGAAATTACTCACGAACGAATGGCCAAAGAAACTAAAGGATCTACCAAGATTCACAACAAATTGTTCCAAGCAAGTACAATTTCATGTTTTTACTGACGCATCAACTGCTGCATACTCAGCAGCTTTATACATTCGAACTCAAGAAAGAGAAGTATTCTTAGTGTTTGCTAAATCCCGAATTGCGCCAATTAAAGGAATGTCAATACCTCGATTAGAATTACTGGCAATACTCATCGGAGTGAGAATGGTACAATTCGTATTAAAACAAAAAGAGCTTGAGGACGTGATAACAATTTTATGGTCCGATTCTCAATGTGCGCTTCATTGGGTTCACAATAGTTCCCGTTTACTACCAACGTTCATACAAAATAGGGTAGAAGAAATACGAAAGGCGAAAATCCATTTTAGATATATCCCAAGTGAACAAAACCCAGCTGATATAGCTACAAAAGGAATCTCTCCGAATAAACTAAAAGGATATGATCTTTGGTGGAAAGGACCAAAGTGGTTAACAGAAAACGAATCAAAATGGCCACAGTGGAAATACAATTACAATGAGGATTACCAGGATGAAGAAATTGTGGCCCACATCACAGAACCAATTATCATAAACAAACATTTCGGAATCTTAGATGCTAGTCGTTTTAGCAAATGGTCAAGATTAATAAGAACAACTGGTTGGGTTCTGAAATTCATAAGATTAACAATGAAAAGGGAAATTCCTTGGCTAAAGATGGCAACGAAAGAAAAGAATATATTGACAACACAGGATTACGAGTTGTCAGAAATTGTGCTATTCAAACAAGCACAGTCAGAAGGAGTTACCAAAGATGAAATAATCAAATGGAATTTGTTCTATGATAACGAACTATGGAGATACAAAAGCCGCGTAGTTAACTCTGAAATGAAAGAGAGTAACTTACACCCAATATATCTCCCGAGACACAACACCATAACTGAACTCTTTATTCAGCAACGACATGAACAACTGTATCATGCTGGAATTGCTCATACACTCTCAAATCTGAGATCGACGATATGGATCCCAAAAGGTAGAACGGAAGTCAAACGAATCTTGAATAAGTGCATGAAGTGCAGACGCTGGACAACTAAACCATTCAAATTACCAACTATGGCTGATCTTCCAGCATCTCGGACCACAAGATCAAGACCCTTTGCGCGAGTAGGACTAGACTATTTAGGTCCTGTGAATATCAGGAGTGATAATGGGCTAACAAAAAGATGGGTAGCACTATTCACATGTTTCACAACAAGAGCTGTACATCTAGAAGTAGTAGAAACTCTTTCAGCCGAAAGCTTTTTACATGTTTTCAGAAGATTTACAGCAAGACGAGGCTTTCCAGAATTAATCTTAAGCGACAACGCTGGTCAATTCCAGTTAATTTTTAAAATCATTGTGAAACAACAATTAAATGAATTCCTAGCGGAAAGGAAAATGATCTGGAAAAATATAATACCAAAGGCGCCTTGGAACGGAGGAGTATATGAGCGACTTATTGGGTTAACAAAAAGGGCAATGAAAAGAGCCATCGGCAGAAAGTTATTATGGGAACGGGAATTGATTACGCTAGTAGCGGAAGTGGAAAGTATTTTGAATACTCGACCACTAACTTACGTAAATTTTGATGATTGTATCATATTGCGTCCAATTGACTTTATACTACCGAATGCGCATCTAATCATGCCTGCTAAAAACAAGAATGAAATGGATGATTTTATCCCTCATAAATTGGATTCGAGAGAAAAACTCATTCAATACTGGTCAAATACACTAAAGGCCCTCGATGCCTTCTGGGAAATATGGAAAGAGGAATATTTAAATACTCTTAAAGAAAGAGCACAAAGGGAACACTCTTCTCCGAGAGATGTAGTAAAAAGAACTCCCCACGAGGGAGAGATTGTGTTACTAAATGAACCAGAAATTCCCCGTGGCATGTGGAAACTAGCCAGAATAAGAGAAATCAAAACAGGAAAGGATGGAGAAGTGAGAAGTGTCTCGATAGAATTACCGAAAGGAAAAATACTCAACAGACCGGTGAATATGTTATACCCACTGGAAGTCAAAGGTGAGGAAATTGACCCTCAACCAACAATGTTTAACAAATCAGTGCAAAATGTCAATGAACAAGAACCAATTGCTCTACGAACTAGAAGCGCTATAAGGCGAAGCAATCAACCAAAGCTGTCCAACGAACTAAAGCATTTAGCTCCTTCGGTCGGGAGTGTCGCGGATTTTAATATCGCGATCTAAAAATATGAGTTGCAAATTGTAGTAAAGATATCTACGTAATTTCCGCAAATAATGCTTATACTTCGGACTCTTTGTTTCCAAATTTATGCTTCTACATATTGAAACAATTTACATCGTTCTTTGTTAGCAATCCTTACAATCATGAGGATATCTACATTGTTCTTTGTTAGCTATCATAATCATGCGGTTATCTAATAAGCTCTTTATTAGCAACTGGTGCCCATGCAAGCACCTCCTCTCCTTTGTTTGGATCATTGTCTAACATCAATGTAGATTTATAACCATACTATTGTCAATTAGATCTGTTTTTAAATCATCCAATCCTCCGAATCAGTTTACTCAATTGTTGCCCAAATATTTAGCTGGCATCCAACACATCTCCCTGACATCAAACTTCTCCCCCGAATAACAATTTAACCAAATCATAAAGGTTTGTTTCCAAAAACATTTTTTTGCTTCCACTACACTATGATTAAAATTGGCAATAACATATATATTAAATTATTTTATACAATTATTAAATTTTTAGGTTTCTGTTGTGATATTTTTGGTTTCACGATTTTCACCATACGAATGGCGTATTGAAGAGATGTCGGGTGGCGGTGGTTTTACAATTTCAAATGATTTTTCAGTTTACAATTGTTTATGGTATACACTTGCTGCATTTATGCAGCAAGGTACCGATATTGTACCTAGGTAAATATTATAATTGTCATGAAGTAATAAGTCTAATTATTAATAAATTTACAAATTTTACTAAGTTAATTACAATTTATAATTAAAATATTAATTTAAAATAATAAAATGTAATAATTAGCGAAAATTAATAAAATTTATATTTAAATTAGATCAATAAGTGGTCGTCTTGCAAGCAGTGTATGGTGGTTTTTCACAATGATTATCGTTTCATCCTATACCGCTAATTTAGCAGCATTTTTAACATTGGAAAAAATGCAAGCACCAATTGAATCAGTGGAAGATTTAGCTAAACAAACAAAAATTAAATATGGAATACAACAAGGTGGTTCAACAGCGCAATTTTTTAAGGTAATTTTAAATTTAAATAATACGATTAAACATTCTTTTTTTTTCATTTATTGTTATTATAATTTTTGCATTTTAGTATAGCTCAGTGCAAATTTATCAACGAATGTGGCGCTATATGGAATCACAGGTAAATGAATTTAAAATAATCCTGATATCACAGGTAAATGAATTTGAAATAGTCCTAATATTACAGGTAAATGAATTCGAAATAGTTCTAATATCACAGGTAAATGAATTTGAAATAGTCTTATATAAGTATAGAAATTATCTATAACAAACATACAAAATATTTTTTAATTAATTAATCAAATAGAAAAAAAGTATTGCAATGGATTAAAATAGAATAATTATTAACCAAATTTTTCAATTATTTATAATTTATGGTTAAGTTTTTTTTTTTTTTTTTTAAAAAAATGCTCTTTTTTTCTTTATGTTACCTCAGTGGTTTTTCTTTTTCAAGGTACCAACGGTATTCACTTCAACCTATGCGGAAGGTATTGAAAGAGTTCGAAGTCATAAAGGACGATATGCATTTTTGTTGGAAGCTACCGCAAATGAATATGCAAATACAAGGAAACCTTGTGATACGATGAAAGTTGGTAAGTTAATTTATGCTTTTCTCATCCTACCAATGTTTACATTTTCAGAAATGAGAAGAAATAAAATTTTGAATCAGTCCTTTCATACAATTAAATTATCAGTAAATCATTCCTAATATTATCATTTATCTTTGTCAAATTTTATAATTCTTTCAGGATCAAACTTAAATTCAGTTGGTTATGGAGTTGCAACACCATTTGGTTCTCCATATAAGTAAATAATATTAATAAATTATACATAATATTTCCTATCATATTGAAATATTGGCTTCATACTATTATCATTTACTTATATTAGCTAATGGAACTAAGCTAATAATAAATAAGCTCAACTTTTCTGAGCTTATTTATTAGTTAAATTATAGATGGCATAATAACTTAACTTCTTTTTCTATTTATCCTTTTATCTTCTCTTACCATTTGTCATAAATTTCCATCTTTAAATTATAGATTGTAGTCTTTGCATAATTACATAATTACAGCATAATGAATTGTGTTATACTTTAAAAAAAATTTTTTTTTTTTTTTTTTGAAAAATTTTAGAGATCATATTAATTTGGCAATTCTTGCATTACAAGAGCGTGGCGAATTGAAAAAACTTGAGAATAAATGGTGGTATGATCGAGGTGAATGTGATCAAGGCATCGCGGTCATTTCTTTTGATCGATCGATCGATCAATTATTACTCTTGCCTTTTCAAATAATCAAAATATAAAAAAATTTTTGTAAAATATCTCTAAATTAATTTATAATTTATGATACTTTAAAATATTATTGATTTTTTTAGGAAGGTCATAATGCAAGTTTAAATTTGAGTAAAGTGGCAGGAATATTTTATATCTTAATGGGTGGTATGATTGCATCAATGTTAGCAGCACTTGGTGAATTTCTTTATCGTTCTCGAATTGAAGCACGTAAAGGCAATGTTACTTCATTACTGGGAAGTTTAACGGTAAGTATTATGGTAAAAATAATTTAAATTAATGAAATTACTTGAAAATACTTTCCATTACTTACAATGAAAAATCAATTTTTTTTTTAAAAAATTTTATCAGAAAAAAGTTGTATTTTTTCCTTTTTTTTTCTAGCAAAATCTTCGAACTTCGTTTTTTGCACAACCAAAAAAAGTTCTTCCGGATGAAGAAACATTTAGAAAAGGAACACCAGTCTTTGAAGTTTTTAAAAAGCAAGATGTTAGTTATTTTTCCATATAGTAATAATTATTATTTTTATTAATTTTAATTAAATAATTAATAATAATGCATTTCTCTCCAGAATTTTTAATAGCCAATGCTAGCTTATAACTCTTATGCTTAAATGAAAAAATTGATAAATAATTAATTTTTATCAAATAACTGGAAAATACTTTTAGAATGTATTCTGTATAATTTCTGCGCATACCGATAATAAGCAGTTAAAAGATTTAAAAAAATATATATTTCTCATTTGTTGATTTAAAAGATTTTAAAAAATTATATATTTCAAACATTTTGATAAAAAAATAAAATTATTTACAGGAAGCATCGAAATCAACTGATTCGAAATCGAGTAAATTAACTGATGAATTAATTACTGCTCAACCATTCATTAAACGTTACAATACTGCCGTTTGAATGATATTTTTTTAAAATTTTGATTCATTGTACATATATAAATGTATATTTTATCTTATTTAACAAACAATTTACAATAAGCATAGAAATGATAAAAATGATAATTTTGATAATATTTCTTTTAGCTAAATTTAATTTTGCTAAATTGCAAAGTTAATCATTTATATCGTAATACTTTTGTACTGTTTCATTATTCATTTAATTTAAAAATTTCTTAATTTTAAGCTAAATTATGGAAATTTATCAAAAAATTTTAGCAATATAATTTATTTGCAAGAAATTTTGTGCATATATTTTCTCATTCCCTTTCTTTCCCTTTTTTTTTTTAAACAATTAATTAGAAATAGTTGCTGTTGTTGAGGAAAAAGAAAAAAAAAATATAATTAAATAAATTTTTGTCGCATTCTTTTACACATTATTTTTATTTATTTATTTTTTTTATTTTTTTTTTTTTTTGATTTTACAGTCAAAAAATTGTTTGAAATTGGGAAATGTTTGCCGTTCCACTTGTCTATACTTTTCCATTTGATGACATTTTCTCGTTCTTCAATTCTTTCAACTTTTATTTTACAGTAGCAAAAATAGTTTCTACTATTTACGCTTTTCTTTTTCACTTCTAATATTACATAATTTTCAAATGGTTGCAAAGAAAATTCTAAAAATTCATCGTTTCAAAATAATAATTTCTAATTAACACTAATTGTAATTCATAAAATAGAATTTACAAATGATTTAACAATTGAAACAATTATATGCATGACAATTTGCTTCAGAATCTTATCAAAATGAAAATGGAAAAAAAAGAAATCAAAATATTAATTTTTATAAAAAAAAAAAGATATTTTTAGCAATGATATGAAAAGAAAACAATAAAATAAACAATTTAGAATTAATTAAATTTACATAAATTATGGAAAAAATGGCATTTATGTAAATTTATCAAAATGGTTTTTTTGTTTTTTCAAAATATATGATTAAATATTCTTTTAAATAATCAATGAAAATACTATTTATGCTTTACTTTATCGATTAACTGAATAAAACATGATCATTTTTCTCTTAAATTCCTAAATATATTGGATGGTTTTTTCTTTTATTTTATATGATATCAGAATTTTTAATGTGATCTAAATTAAATACTTAATCTCAATTACTTTTATCTTTCTCATTTTATAATAACTACTGATTAATTCAATTAATAAAATTCCTGACTTCCTCATTTTTTAACAGTTTTCTAAAGCTTATATATAGCTAACATCAACATTGTTCCTTTGTGATATTTTAAAATTTTTCGATTCATTTCGTTTTATCTAATTTTTTTTTTTGCAAATTTACTGAAGAAAGAAAAAAGATTTAATATATTTAGTGGAGAAATTCATTTACTGTATCATTGGCGGTAATGGTTTTAGCTATATGAACTATACAGACCATTGCGCTCCTAGAAAATGTCGCAGCTATTCGTTCACAATTTTCCTTATTTTTTCGTTTTCCTCTTCTTTTGTCCTTTTGAAGTTGAAAAATGACAGAATAACTGGTTCAGTGTAAAAAAAGAAAAATTAGAGAAAGAAGGAAAGAAAGAGTGAAAAAAATACAATAAGCAAAAATGTCACAGCAAGTAAACATGTGACAAACATGTCCTCAAATGTATATGACATTACTGTTTAATGTATTTCTACCATTCCAACTACTTTAAATGCATTTAAAAATAAAAAAAAAGAAAAGAAAAAATGTGAAGTAGAGATTGATGACAAATTGGAAAGAAAAAAAGAAAAAAGAAAAAATTGTCCTATTGCTATTATCAGTTTGAGAATTAACAAAATTTTTAGAGAAAAAGAGAAATAAGAAGAAAAGAGTTTTTCCTTTTTTTTTTTTTTTGAAAATTTAATAAATTATTATTAGCGTACGAACTAAATTCTTTTCATTAATTCTTGTAGAAACTTGCTTTCAAATTTGTTTAGTTCGTTTCATTTTGCGTATCAGAACGAAAAGAAAGGAAGAAGAGAGAGGGAGAAAGGAAGAGAAAGAAAGGAAGGAAGAGAAAGGGAGGAGGCGGTGATGTTATTATAACTGGGCGGAAATATAAGCGTTTCATTTTCCATCCAAAGTAATGTCATCAAATAATTTAGTTGAAAATGGTAACCATTGGTTGTGTGTGGGATTTTTCATTTATTTCTTATTTTTAATTTGCAATTATTTCCTCTTTTTTCTTTTTTTATTAATCAAGAAATTTAAATAAAAGAAAAATATTTAATTAAACACACAACCTTATAATATTCAAAAAAAAAGAAAGTGAAATTTCAAAAGTTTATTTTAACTTAACAGATATTAAATTTGATAGGAAAAAAGTTAATAATAATCAAAGATGGAAAAAATTTTTAATGAAACAAAGGATAATATAAAGTGTGTTATAGCTTCTTTGAAATTTTCAATACAATTTGAAATTAAAAATGTCAATTTCAATTAACAAAAAAAAAAAAAAAAAGAAAGAAAACGTTCTTCGATAATAATTGTTTAACAACAATTTCTTTTTAGATTTCGAAAATTTTCTATTTGATTTAATAGTGAATACAAATTGAGGTTAAAAATTTTTATTGGAATTTTTTTTTTTGTTGAATATAATTAAATTTACATAAATTGAATTTTCATATCAAAAGTTATTTGTAAATTTCTAAATTTTCACATTTAATTTAATAATGTATGCATATTAAATTTAAAAATTTTTTATTGGAGTTTTTTTTTTTTTGCGTAATTTAATTTAATACAATAAACTTAAATTGAATTTTTATATTCGAGGTTATTTATAGATTTGTAAATTTTTTATCATCGCAATGAATACATATTAAAGTTAAACATTTTGTTCTTTTCGGTATACAGGTTAATTGAAGGAATTCAGGTAGCAAAATGAGTGTGAAGGTATTCGTGGGTCTTGCTACAGCATGCAGTGTCTTTGTCATCATCATGTCTCTCGTTGCTGTTTGCATTATTTACAATGACATCAATACCTTATATGATGATGTTATGGATGAAATGGGCGAATTTAAGGTTAATTATATTTAATAAAAAACAACAATTTTAAATTAATAATATTTAATAAATATCAGTTTAAGCTTAAAATATTTAATAAATATCAGTTTAAGATTAAAATATTTAATAAATATCAGTTTAAGATTAAAATATTTAATAAATATCAGTTTAAGATTAAAATATTTAATAAATTTTAATTTATGATCAATAATATTTAATAAATATCAATTTAAGACTAATAATATTTTTTAAAATGTCAACCTTTTCTGTCATCGATCCTTTTCTGAGTCAAATTTTTGAAACATTTATTCAATACTGTTTCATATAGCTCTCTTAGAATTATTTTGGAAGATTATCTTTTTTAAATAAAAGATATCAAAAATTGCTCAGCTCATTGTTATTTAAAAGAAAGTAAATTTCAAAAAAAAAAAAAAAGATAAAGATTTTTTTAAAGAATATTTTAGACATATTTTTGATCAGTTTTTTTTTTTTTAATTTTTGAAATAAAACAATTTTTAAATTAAAAATCTTCAAATTATTGAAATAAATTTGCCAACTATTATTCTTTTATTTCGTTTTTCTCTCGTTTTTTATTGTTCTATGAAGCAGTGTTGTGCTATAAATTCTTATAAATTACTTAAGATAACAAAAAAAAATTCAGCTAATTGACAAATAGGATCAAATCGATATTTTAATTGATCAATTAAATTTTGATTTGATTGAATTTAATGAATTTATTTCTTTTTTTAGGTCTTTTTCTTTTTAGGTCATAGTGTATTTAATTACTTTTCTATTTATTTTTCATTTGCATTGTTGTAATTAATTTAATTTCAAATGTTTGACATTTGCGTTTTTAGACTGTCGCAGATGACACATGGCAAAGGATATTATTGCTGCATATGCATCCATCCGGTAGCACTGATACAACACCAACCTTTTCAAGCCTTTTTGCAAGATTCAAACGACAATTTCAATTTCCTGAACGATGTAGTAAGTTTCGAATGGATATTTACAGTTTTGTTTCTTTAAACGGAAAAAAAAAAAACTTCAAAAATGATTGAAATTTGAATTAGGACCATGCATATTGCAGATTGTGGGCCTAGTGCAGAAGGATGCCCAAGAGGGCCACCAGGACCACGAGGAGAAATAGGTGAAAAAGGGACAGATGGATATGCAGGTGGAGATGGGCCACCAGGTCCACCGGCTATCGTACCGATAACAACACCTGAACCACGTGAATGCATTAATTGCCCACCGGGACCACCGGGACGAGAAGGACCACAAGGAGAAATGGGTGAAGCTGGGCCACCTGGAAAATCAGGTATTGATGGAAGGCCAGGAGCAAGAGGTAGACCAGGTCAGCAGGGATCACAAGGTCAACCTGGTGAGCCAGGACATGATGGAACACCTGGACGACCAGGACCACCAGGCAGAGATGGTAAGCGCGGAATTGGGCCACAAGGACCAAAGGGACCAACTGGATCACGAGGACCACCAGGACCACCAGGCCAAGATGGACAAAGAGGTGCTGACGGTGAGCCAGGTGAACAAGGGCCAGAAGGAAGAAGTGGTAATGATGGCAGACGTGGTGGAGATGGTAGACCGGGACCGGTAAGTTGCTAATTTTGTCAAATTAAAAAAACTGATATTCCTTGTCTAACTTTTTTTTTTAAAAAAATAACTAATAAAATTAAAATTCCATAAAAAAATTATATATAATTCGGTTTATGCAATTTGCTATATTTTCTTAAAATATAAATTTGATTTCATTTCAAAGTTTTTGAAGTAAAAAAAAAGTATATTTATCGATATTTTAGCCTGGAACTCAAGGTCTACCAGGCCCAGATGCTCATTATTGTCCATGTCCAGCACGTAGTTCTGTCTTTTTGACAATGGCCAAGAAAGCGAAACATAAGTCAGCCTAATTCTTCCACTATATGCTATTATTATCATCACCATCATGAGCTCATCATCATCATCAACATCAACACTTTCAACAAATCATCATCATCATCAATAACATCAAACATCATAGATCAATTCCACATCACGCTCAATGTATTATAGCACATTACTGGGTATTTAACCCTTCTTTTTTTTTGTTTATTTTGTTTACATGTAAACAACCACGTCACCGTCACTGAATAGCAGCATCAATTATTTCACGTGAAGATACAAAGCATTAGAGCGAACGTCAAGAATAAACGATTTAAAATTGCTCATCAATTCATCGTCTATACATCAACTGAAATCATTTTAGTTTAAATCGAAATGAATCAATAATCGATTTCATCTCTGAGTAAATCTCATATACTGATTAATTAATTCTGAAATACAAATTATATCAAATATCAAAAAGACAATGATCAAAATAATTTTGTTCATCACAAGAATTTAATTAATATACTTTATACAATTGATTATTATATAAATTATAATTTTCGTTTGATTCAGACCAAATCTCAAAAAGAAAAAAACGAAGGAATTTAATTATTCATTGATAAAATTCAAATGTAATCCTTGTTGGATTTCCCCTTAAGAGCAAATTCTTAGAATTTTCGTCATTGATATGAAAAGTTATTACTTAATTATGTTTAAATATTAATATATGTGTGTTGAAGTTTTTAGAATGTATTTTAAAGTAAGCGAAAAAATCTAATTTATCTTTATGAGAAATTTAGAGGTAAAAAAAATAAGCCAAATAAAGAAGGAAGTGATAATTTTGTTGATTAGATAAATTTGTATAATTGTACCAACTTATAATATTGCTGTTCAATTTCAATTTCATTTTGTATTTTCTTAAAATAATTTAGAAAACTTAAATCTCTAAAGATTTCAAAATCTAAAACTCAAACATTTCGATTAATTCTATTAGATACTAAATAATTTTTTCATAGCATTCCTAATAAATTAACTCATAAAATTTTTTTCCTTTGAGGATTAAGAAAAAAAAGCGATTTAATTTTTCTAGATGGAAATTTAGAAAAAGTTAAAATAAAATTCTGATTAGAAAAGAAAAGTTTAAATCCAAAATGGAAAGATTTCTAGAATAAAAGTAATAATAATTTCCTAACATGGTGGGTGATTTTTTTTTTATTAGTGATCAGAAAATTTAATTAATTTAATTGGGATCAAAAGAATTAATCAAAGTATTATCACAAAAATATTTGCTAATAAATATAACAAGAAAATATTGAATTTTCTAATAAATAAAACAAAGAATTGGAAAGTTTAAATCACTTTTCTAATAATTTTATTAATTTATTGTTCAGATCTGAATAATTCAGCAATTTCTTTAAAATTCATAACTTTTGTTTCAAAAAAAAAAATAAAAGTGACATTTTAAAGGATACAATTTCTGAAGAATTCTTCTTGCGGGATTGTATTACTGATCCGGATTGAAACATCCGTTCAAATGTGCTATAAGTAGAAATTCTATTTTTACTCTAACTGCAATTTCTGGATAACTTTTTTTCTTGTCTAAAATTTTATTAATTCTGATTAAATTAACATTTTTGAACAAATGATAAAGCAAAAAATATTACTAAATTTTTTTACTGGTAATTAAATTTAATTTAAATATGGCAAAAATAATATTAATTAAGACATTTTATCATATCAAATTTTAATTTTAATTTCATATAAAATTTTAATTTTAATATTGCAACAAACTAGTGAAATATATAAATAACTGCTGTACAGCTATATGGAATGTCATCTAACTAAAATGAAAATTTCAATTACACTAAAATTAAAATTTGACTATAAAATTTCACTCATTTTTCTACTAATTATATTCGTTTCGTATAAATGTCATTTATTCAATGCAAAATAATATATTTAAATTTCTAGCGCTTTTTATTTCTGAAAATGCTAACGCGAAGTTTATTAGCTTGCATACTATCTTAATTTAAAGATTAAGCTTAAAACTTTATAAAATTTTAAAAAGTGTTAAAAAATACAAAAAAGAATGCTAAATTAAATTTTAGATTAAAAAAAGTAATATAAAAGTAATTTTGTTGTTTTGGATGATACAATATGATTTGATTTTCCATAAAATAAAAATAATTTAAATAAATTCACTGAAATGCTATGGCTATCTTGAATCTTAATAATAATGCCAAAAATTAATTAATTTTAATTAAAAAAACTGTTTAATAAGTTTCAGAATTGAGAAACATAAATTTTTTCGACTTTCTCTTTGATTTTTTTTTTTAAAAAAAAACATATTTAATAGATTTAAAATATAATTTTGAAATGAAATAAGATAAAAATTGAAGGATTCAACAATTGAAACTTATTTTCTAAAATTAAGATCCACCTATCATCACCTCCAACACAAATTGAAAGATTTAAAATTGAAACTTATTTTCTAAAATTAAAATCCACCTATCATCACCTCCAACACAAATTGAAAGATTTAAAATTGAAACTTATTTTCTAAAATTAAAATCCACCTATCATCACCTCCAACATCTGAAATGTAAACAGAGGTAAACAAAAAAAAAAAAAGATTTCCAAAAATTAAATGAGTTTAAATCAATTTTATTCAATCCGTTTTGAAAATTTTGAGTATAACTTGGTAAGATGATTTTAAAAAGTGACAAATGAATAAATATGAAAATAACAAGACAGTACTGATCAAGAAATTGTCAACTTTTTTTGATTGTAATTATAGCAAACATTGAGAATACAAAAATTTCACTGTAATATAATCTATTTCTATGCAAAATATCGGAGTATACTTTATTTAAATTTTATTAATTATGCAAATTAAGCGTAAGGTTCGATAATTTATTAGATGAAAAAATGATCGTTGATTGCTTTACTTAATTTAAATTTCAGTTTTTGGTTTCAAATTTGATTATTGATAATAATTACATTCCAATATTTTAAAAAGCATTGCTAATTATGCTAACATTAATAGTTATTAGTATGTAATTTATTTCGTTATATGACTAATTTTTCAGTTTATGCGTAATAGTTCATTAATTAGTTTTGAGTTAATTTCAATTAAATGAAAATTTTAATTTTTTATTAATGGAAAAGAAAAAAAGAATTGTAATTAAATGAATGTAAAAGTAAGAATTCAAAGAAAGTATATTTCAATAAGTTGAAATGATTAAAAAGTATTAAAAATGTATCCATGTGTATGTGATCATTTTAAAAAGATTGAAATCAGCTTTTCAATATAATTTACTTAAAACTTAAGAGAGAGAGGGAGAGGGAGAGGGAAAGAGGTAGAGAAGGAGAGATAGAGAGAGGAAAGAAGAAAGTTAAGAGTGAGGATGAGTCGAAATCGAAGATGAAATTATTTCTAATCAAGCTAATATCATTGTCCATTTTGTCATCTCGTCAATGGTTTCAAATTATTGTCACCAAATGTCGCACTGTCAACAAAATGTCCACCTTACTAATTAACAGTTATACTTCTCTCCTCCTCACATTATCATACTAGTTATCTTTTAAATTGCATATGCATAAATTGATTGACATATGATAGTAAGTGATAATTTTTTTTTTCTGTTCTTGAAATAAATTTGAAAAAAAGAAAAATTAAATTCAAAAAAATTTTTGCAAAAAGAATAGTTTTATTTTAAATCATAGATGGCAAAAAAAAAAGTTTTTGGAAATTTTCATATTAATATTCAAATTTGAAATAAATACAAATTTTAATGATTTATTAAACAAACTTTGCATTAAAAATTGCTTAATTTTATTAAAAAAAAAAAAAAAATAAACACAAAAAAAATAAAAAACAAAGGGAATTAAAGAAAAAGAATTGAAAAGATTAAATGCGCTAATTTCATTTGTAATTATTAAACTCAATTCTTTATCGAAGCAAAACAAAAAACAAAAGAAAAATGTAATTCAAAAAAAAAAAAAAATTATTTAGATCAAACTAATCAAACAATTTTGATGCTTCTTTCTAGTCAATTTCATAAGCTAAAAATAATTAATTAGTGCGGAAGATTTTAAATTTTATCTAGGAAATACGATTGATTAGAATTCGATCCATAATTAATTGATTAATTAATTTGTTAATTAATTCATTTTTTTATTAATTACTCCCAGTTTTGAGATAACTGCAAGAATATCAGTGATTTTTTTCTTCTTTTAATCATTGTTTAGATAAATTTTCATGTGACCTTTTCCTTTTTTTTCGAGAATTTAGAAAATTTAAATATTATGTGGAATTCAATCGGATTCGATTTAAAAAATCTAAAAAAAAGAAATTTTTTGTTTTTCATTGTAACATTCAAGAAATTGCATAAATTTCTTTGAATTAATATAATTCTAAATGTTGTTTGCTATCTGATCAGAATGCGGTAAAGATTGATTCTACAAAATGATAAGTTCTCGAGAGTGAATGATAATAATTTTATTTATCAGCAAATTTAACTATCATTTTTTTCGGATGACAAAAATTATTCCATTTCTTCAAATTGAAAAAAAAAAGAAAAGAAAAAAACTATTTAGAATAATTAGATTATCGGAATTATTTAATAAATTTAGCAAATTCTTTCATTTCTTTCATTAAGCAAAACTTGAATAATTGAAATTAAAGAACTTAAATTCCATTTCTTATTTCATTTCATTTCATTTTTTATGGGATAATTTACGCCAAATAATAATAATAATACGCCATTTAGCATTTACTTTTATTTCTTAGCTAAATAAGCAAAAAAAAAAAAATATTTGAATAGAATGAATTTTTCATTATTAAATAAAGCTCACATTTAAATGATAGTTAAAATTAGCCATAATTTTGCTTTAAAAAAATAAAAAAATAAAAAAGAAACGAAAAATATTTTCAAAGAATTTCTAAATTTAATTCTGTTCAATGCAACAAAATTTATAATCGTTGAATCGTTTTTTTCTCCTTTTTTCTTTTTTTTTTTTATAAAAGCAAATAATGCGACAT